GGATAGAACTCACGGTGACTCACGGTGACCCTGTAGGACGGGATAGAACTCACGGTGACTCACGGTGACCCTGTAGGACGGATAGAACTACCTCTGTGAGTGTCTGAGACGTAACTCTTTGCAGGAGTAGAACACTCAGCCTATCTCCTGAGGAACAGCTGGTGGCTTTGAACTAGTGACCTCGAGGATTGCACCCCAACGCACACCCACTTGCCACCAGGGCTCCTCTACATTTAGAATAGGAGGGTCTAATGCACCTGTCTCCTGCTGCCATGTTGTATATAGGGAAAATGAGGTCCAAAGAATAGGGTTTAACTAATACATGGAGCCTGTAGTATCAGCCCTATAACCCTCAGGTACCTTGAGAGTTAGAGTCCCAGTGTTTGCTGACCTCTCCCCTCTGCCTACCTGCTCCCAGAGGTACATTGATGGGGGCTTCACCAGCATGCAGCCCTGCGCCTTCTGGACCGACTCCATCACCATCTCCACCTTCAGTGGGCAGCAGGACATCTGCCCCCGGGACTGCCCTGCCATCTTCAGCGACTTCCGCATGTTCAACTACTCCTTCCAGTTCTCCCTGGAGAACATCACCCGGATGAACCATGCGCTCTTCCCCCCAGACCTGCTGGTGAGAGGCAGGGCGGGCCTGTGAGCCTGGGCAGGGCTGGTGCAGGCAGGGACTGGGGATGGCATAGGGGAGCCAGTGGACCTCGCTCAGGTTCCCCTCAAGTGACTGCTGGCCTGGCCACTAATTGACTACATGACCTGAAGCAAGTCCTCTAAGCTGTCCCAGCCCCTCAGCCTGCTCCCCCAGGAAAGGCATCGATGCAGGAGCTGCCGGTGGGAGCCGGAACCAAATGTGTCTGGTCTAGAAGGAAGTGGTCCAGCCCGGCTTCGTTATGAGCAGCCTGTAGACGAAGTATGGATTTTTCCACTTTTGAAGGGTTATAAAAAGGAAAAACAAAGTATGTGACAGAGACTCTGTGGGCCTGTCCCATGTTCTCCTACAGAGCTACTGGTGGGTTTGAACTGCTGCCCCACTGCACCAGCAGGGCTGTGTTACCGAGCTGTAGCACACACCCTCCTCCAGCATCCTCTGCGATAGATCCAATTATTGCCCCATTTTACAGATGACGGTATTGAGGTCGTGAGAGGTTATAGCTACTGTCACCAGTAAGTGGCAGCGCTGGGATTTGAACCCTAAACTCCAGACTCTTCTCTCCACTTGGCCCACACATGCCTTCTCTGGTTCTCTTATAAACATCTCACACAAAGTGCCCTGCCCCAGTGTCCCACGGCCAGCTACCGATAGCAGCACATGAGGAGAACATCACTGTGGACATAGGACCAGCAAGTGCTCCCCAATTCCGCTTAGCCAGGGAGCTCTGGTGTCGCAGTGGTTAAAGCACTGGCCCCTAACCACAATGTTGGCAGTTTGCGCCCACCGGCTGAACCGTGGAGGAGAGATGTGAAGCAGTCTGCTTCTATAAAGAGGGTAAACCTTGGGACTCCTTCTGGGGCAGTTCTACTGTAGGGTTGCTATGCATCCGAATCTGTTCAGCAGTGAGTCTGCCTAGCAGAGGGTGAGGGCTGGCATGTGGTGTGGGTGAGTTTTGAAAAGCCTATCCAAAAATGCTCCTAAGCCAGGAAGGCTGCTGGCTGATGCTCTGGGGGGAGGGGACCATGGTTTTCTGTCGCTGCAGCTCTAGTTATTTTCCTGATGTCCCTCCACCCCCACCCCGACCCCCCAGGTCCTGCACAATTACTACTACCGAGGCTATGAGGATGCAGTTTCATACTTGAGGCGGCTGAGTAAGTACCACGCGGGCCCCTGAGGGAAGAGGATGCTTGGAGGCTGGGGAAGGACAGACGTGGAAGAGCAGAGCCAAGGGGCATTGCGCCCAAGTTTGTGAACCAGAGGGCCCTTCACCTGGACGGCTGGACAGGGATGCAGGGACCCGACAGTCTGTATTGTCCAGGACAGGCCGCTGTGGTCAGAAAGTCTGTAGGAAAAGGGTCTAGGGCATGTGTGTGAAGACAGTTGGGCCTCCTTCTTCACAAGGT